GCTCCACAGTCAACAGTCTTGGCACCAGTAGCCAGGAAATTAAAAGGCACATTGCCATGGGAAAGTCTGCTGTTAGGGACCTGTCCAAAGTACTGAAGAGCAATGGTGTCTCTCTGGAGACTAAGGTGCACCTGATACAGGCCATGGTCTTCACAGTCATTTGTTATGCATCAGAGAGTTGGACAGTGACCAAGGAGGATAGAAGGAGAATTGATGTCTTTGAGCTGTGGTGCTGGAAAAGAGTATTGAGAGTACCATGGACTGCTAGGAAAAAAACCACATACATCCTGGAAAGCGTTAAACCAAGCGGCTCTCTGGAGGCAAGGATTCTGAGGCTCCGTCTAACATACTTTGGACATGTTGTAAGAAGAGACTGGTACTTGGAGAAGGACGTCATGTTGGGGAGGGTGGAGGGACAGCGCAGCAGGGGAAGGCCCTCTATGAGGTGGATTGATTCAGTGACTGGGATAATCGGGATGGGAGTGTCAGGGACAGTGTGATTGGCACAAGACAGAGCAGAGTTTAGGGCTGTTGTGCATAGGGTCGCTATGAGTCGCAAGCGACTTGATGGCACATAACAACAACAAACAAGGGCAGTATCTTGAATGACCCAGGAAGCATCAAAAGAAGTTGGAGGAAATACACAGAATCACTGAACCAAAAGAATTGGCTGACACTGAAAGTACCATATGATTAATGAATGGTAAGCTGCACTGAAGGCATTGACAAAAAATAAAGCCCCAGGAATAAATGTGATACCAACTGATATGTTTCAACTAACAGATGCAGTCCTGGAGGTGTTCACCAGTCTATGCCAGGAAATTTGGAAGACAACTGTCTGGCTTACTGATTAGCAGAGATACATATTTGTTCTCATTCCCAAGAAAGTTGATCCAAGAGAATGTGAAAATTATCGAGCAATAAAATTAGTATCACACACAAGCAAAATACTGCTGTCCGAAGATCATTAAAAAATTACTGGAAAAGTACAGAGAATTGCCAGTAGTTCAAGCAGGATTTACAAGAGGCCATGACACCAGAAATATCATTGCTGATGTCAGAGATGGATCCTGGCTGAAAGCAAAGAATACCAGAATAATGCCTATTTTTGCTCTGTGGCCTCTACAAAGGCATTTGACCATGTGGATCATAATAAATTATGGCTAACATTGAGAAGAATGGGAATCCAAGAACACTTAATTACGCTCATGTGAAAACTATACCTAGTCCAAGAGGTTATTGTGCAAACAGAGCAGAGGGGCTTTTTTTTTAAAAAAAAAAAAGTGTTTATCAAGGTTGTATCTTTCTCCATACCTACTCAATCTGTATGCTGAGCAAATTGTTCAAGAAGTTGAACTTTACAAAGAAGACTGTGGTATCAGGATTGGAGGAAGACTACTTAACAGTCTTTATTTTGCAAATAGATGGCTAACCATGTTTACTGAAAGTGAAGAAGACTTGAATTGCTTACTGCAGAAGATCAAAGACTTACACATGGATTGCATCTCAGCATCAAGAAAGCAAAATTTCTTGCTGCTGGACTGATAGGCAATATCATGATAATTGGAGAACAAATTAAAACTGTCAACTGCTTCATCTTACTTGGATCCACAATCAATACACTTGGTATTAACAGTCAGAAGATCAGGAAACGTATTGAACTGGGAAAGTCTGCAGTCAGGGACCTCTCCAAATTATTGAGGAGCAATGATGTCAGTTGAGGACTGAGGTGTGCCTGATGCAGGCCATGGTCTTTCAATTATTTGATACACATCTGAAAGCTAAACCATGACTAAAGATGACAGAAGAAGAATTGATGCCTTTGAGCTGTGATGTTGGAGAAGAATACTAGCTATCCTATGGACTGCTAAAAGAACAAACAGATACATCTTAGAGAAGCTATAACCAGAATTCTTGGAGGCAGCGATAATAAAGTTTCATTTTACATACATGGGGCATATTGTTAGGAGGGGCTATTTCTTGGAGAGGGGCAGTGTGCTTAGAAAGATGGAGAGATGGCAAAAGAGAAGAAGATCTTCAACCAGGTGGATTGACACAGTGACTACAGCAGTGGGCTCAAGTATATTAGAGATGGTGGCACAGGACAGGACCAGGTTCAGATCTGCTGTCCATAGGGTTACTATGAGTTGTACTTAGCTCAACAGCACCTGACAACAATAACTGTATCATTTAACAGCTCCATTTTCTATCATCTGAAATGGCACCAGAAGAAAATGATGCTCTCTTTCTATTTGCAGGCTTGGCAGAATGGCACGTACCAAATGGTGGAATGTTTTTGTGGGTTAAAATGAAGGATATTGCTGATTCAAAGCAAGTAATTGAAGAAAAAGCCCTTAAGAATCAGGTAAATCAGGAAGACAGGGTCGGGGAAAGACCTAAAACAGTTCTATAGGGTTTTTTCTTTAAAATAATTATTTCAATAAAAATGGAGATGTTTTTCCCTATCACCACTCAAACTCAGTGTTTTAGTATCATATATTTTACAGTTTTCAGCAGTTTCATAGGTTTCCATTGGTTTTCAGAGGCAGTAAATCACATGGTGGATTCAAACAGTGTGCCTTTGTGTTGACAGCACAACTTCTTAACCTCTAGCCTAGCCCACCAGAGGTCCCTAGGATCATAATAGATTTTTGGAATTCATCCTATTCTATTTGTTTGCATTAATGGGAATAGTCATCATATCCTTTTATTATTTTTTTTTTAACATTGCAGTATCACCCCCAGACCTTTACCAACATATAAGTAAACTTTTCATCAACAATTGGGCTTTTTACTTTGTTCCAAGTGCTCTATAAATTTCCAGTAAAAAAAACTTAGAACTTCCAGTTACATTTTTGTGTCCCTTAATTACACTACCTATCCTATTAACTGCTGAATAGCTAGATTAGTGGTTAAAATTATAATATTGGGTTTGAATCCCAGCTCCAGTGCTTACTGGATGTGTGGTTTTGAGTAAATAACTTACCCTTCCTGTGCCTCATGGGTGAAAAGGGGATATTAAGAATCCTCCTCTCATTGGATTGTTGTGACGATCACAAAAGTTAACCTGTGCTTATCATTGAGACTAGTACCTAGTATGTAGCAAATGCTTGGAAAGTGATAACTGTTGGTATTTAAAATAGATTTCTCCACCCCACCCCTCTGAATATGAAGGTAAATTATTCTTATGGTAGCAATTTGGAAAATGCCTAAAATTATAAAGAAAAAAATTTTAAATAGCTGATAATTTCACAGTCCAGATTTTGTAGTATATTTTCCTCAAGAGTATAGAGATAAAGATATAACTAGTATATTTAAAAAACTCAAACACATCTTTTTCCAAAACAGATTCTTCCAATTTCTCTCACCCCCTCCCACTTAACAAATTGTACAACCCCATGAATAATCCCCCCTCCACCTTCTCATCCTCATCCCTCTGCTTCCACCACACCTTTCCCCCTTGGATTTTTATATTCATTCTATAATAATGGTTTTATACAATATTTGTCCTTATGGGACTGAGTTAGTTCACTCAGCATATTTTTTTTTAGGAATTATGCTGTGTAATTATTGTACATGGTTAAAATTACATAGAAAAGTTTGTATACTGTGTTGTTTTGTTGGATTTTTTTTTTTTAACTTGGGAAAATTTCTTCTATTTTTCTCCTTTTGTATTTAGATCATCATCTACTTGGAATTCACTTTGAGACATTAATTAGGCTGAAAAATCTTAATGTTTTTCTGAGTTTTATCCAGGTTCCCAAATTACTGCTTCTCCATTAATTCCTTGTCTTCAGTCTTTTGCTGAAGATCTGTTAAGATCTGTTCCTAGGGTTGTTCTGGTCTTTAGACAAGAAGTTAAAAAGAATACATTGTGTTGACAATGGTATGGTCATTATAGTGTGTAAAAGATAAGATAATTGACCCTAGGCCTAGAGATAGTCAGCCTGGATGTGAGTACTGCCTCTACTACCTTGAAAGGTCACATCCTATCTAACCATCTTAGTTGAGAGTAAGATTTATGCCTTATTAATTGTTTTAACCTTTGAAATCACACTGACTCATCCTATGGAGTCAATTCCAACCCTGAGTGACCCTGGAGCATAGAGAACTGCCCTTTGAGTTTCCAAGACCCAAAATCCTTATGGAAGCAGACTGCCACTTCTTTTTCCCTTGGACCAGTTGGTGGGCTTGGACTGCCAAATACTTACTTATTTTTTTTCTATATTTTATTAATTTTCATAAACATTTACAGAGATTTGGGGTTTCCATTCATTCATTGTTGCACTATTCTCTCTACCCTCCTCCCAGTTTGTTCTTGTCCAAATGCCACAGTTCTTGTCAAAGCCAGTTCTGATTAATCTTCTTTGTCAGTGTGTCCTTTGCCATTCCCTATCACTCCTCCCTGAGAGAGACTCACCCTGAGTCATAAGGAAAAGGGGATGGCGTATTCTCTTAGCTACTTCCTGCTGAAAAGGGACGCTGTGGGTTTCAGGGTGAAGATCTTCTCTCACTACTCTAAAGGGCCCCTTTGGCAGTAGGAAACACATAGACTATTATGGAGATTGATTTTGGGATTTAGATGCACTCTTATTGATTGTGCTTGGCCGTACATGTTCATATTCTTGAAGATGTATCATGGGGGTGTTGCAACCTAGAAGACACAAATTTGACTAACAAGTTATAAGTACATGAGTCCAGAAATTATGGAAAAGTAAAAGAAAAGATTCTTTCATTGTTTTACAAACCCTCCCCCAGGTCCCCTCCACCATGTAGCCCTCGCTCTAGTCTCCTGTGATGACAGAAATACCCTCCTCCCAGTTTGTTCTTGTCCAAATGCCACAGTGCTTGTCAAAGCCAGTTCTGATTAATCTTCTTTGTCAGTGTGTCCTTTGCCATTCCCTATCACTCCTCCCTGAGAGAGACTTCACCCTGAGTCATAAGGAAAAGGGGATGGCGTATTCTCTTAGCTACTTCCTGCTGAAAAGGGACGCTGTGGGTTTCAGGGTGAAGATCTTCTCTCACTACTCTAAAGGGCCCCTTTGGCAGTAGGAAACACATAGACTATTATGGAGATTGATTTTGGAATTTAGATGCACTCGTATTGATTGTGCTTGGCCGTACATGTTCATATCCTTGAAGATGTATCATGGGGGTGTTGCAACCTAGAAGACACAAATTTGACTAACAAATACTTACTTATTGATCCACTAGGACTCCTTAGTAACAGCACATAGTAGGTACTTCATATTTAACTGACTTATCTGATACTTTCTTTACTTTCTATGGATACTATTTGATAAGTAGCTATTTGCACTTAACTGTGAACTAGATGCTAAGATTATAAACTTAATATTACTATTTTTCAGTCTTCTTCAATGATTCCTTCAATGATTCTTCAATGATTGCTTTTTCTAAATAATATCTAACTTTAAAAAAATTACCAGGGTCAAGATTTTGGTTGTCTTGCAAAGAGATGATTACAACTTTGCTCCCTGTTTCTATCACATCCCCAAACATTTTCTCTGCATTGAAGAAAGTCATGGTTTTCGTTTTATTATTAATTAGCACAGAGAAACTCATCTCCTACTTCAAAATCTTATCTCATGATGCCTAAATTATTTTACTCTCAACTCATCCTGTTTCAGTATATTAAAACTGTGCCTATAGACTATCCAAAACTGTAAATATTTAGAGAGGCAGACTGCCACATCTTTCTCCCTCTTCGTAACTGGTAGGTTTGAACAGTCAACTAGTAAGTTAAAAACCAAGATCTTTTAACCACTGTACCACCAAAAGTCCTGTTACAGGAGACATACCCAACTTTATACCAGACAGTTACCAGTATACCATGTTTTTAGAGATCATTATTATGTTAGTTAACACTGTTTTAAAAAGATAAACCCTCAAGTCTGAAAGACTTCATACAACAAAAGTTTATTTCCAATTTATAAAAACTCAAATATGTGATCTACAGGCAACTCTGCTTTCCCTTGTTTATTCATCATGTTACTCTTCAGTCTTCTGCACATAGATCCCAGGATCTCTGCAAAACAGAAAGAACCTGATGCATCACACAGCAGAAGATTTTTCTTTTTTTAATGAGGTAGACGGAGAAGCTGCATAAAAGGCTTCTGCTCATGTTAGCTGGCCAGGCTTTGCCAGGAAGAGGAGCTGTGTCTGCCAGTCACATCAGGAATCAGAGATGTTCCCATCATCCCATCTTGACACTGTCCTGCTTAGTCATTCATTCCTTCCCGCTGTTTGTGTGTGTTCTTTTACCTCCTTTAATTTCTTTGAATGCACCAGTTTTCATCTCATTTTAAGGCTGTTGCCTGCTATATCTTCTTCCTAAAATTCTATTCTTCCTCTTTCTGTCAAGCTTCTACTGAATTGCCATTTTGGTCCCAGGCTGAAAGTCACTTCCAAATTTGATAACTGAAAA